AACCGCGAGAAAGTTAATATCTTCCATTAACTTTACGATAGAGCCATGTAATTAAATACCCACTAACTGCCAAGTAGGAGTAGAATGTGATAGGAACAACTGTTCGCTGGAAAGGTCGGTCCACCGGTCTCCCCTTCGAGAGTTGCTTAGAAGCACAGTATTAGCAGTTCTGGCTTAGCCACTGCCAATTCATCATCGATCCTATTCTACTGGTGGAGCCTTCAGCTAATGCGCCCTTCTCTACAGCAAATGTATATGTGAATTCAAATCAATGTAACCATTTTTTTTCCATTTTTCAATCAACTCTTTTTTTAATTTTTTCTCGAGACAGTTTTCAAGACAGTTTCAAGATAACCAAAATGAAAATTTTCAATTTCAAGATAAATAAGCGCAAAGAAACAAAACATTTCAACAATATTTCGGTGCAATTCCAATTCAAAACTGACCGATCTCTGTACTTCAGATTCCGACGATACCGCTGATATTCCCTCTGTCGAAACACTCATCGCAGCCACTGAACTCGCCAACGAAGCCATATCGCCTGAAAATTCTTGAGAATCGAGGCACGCCGGATGATAACTGCATCATTTATTATGCTATTTACCCGATGATGGTACTAATGCAACCTCAAATTTTTAATCTCAAAGCACTAACTGCAACCTCACATCACTTAGACACGCATTCCACACATATATACATGAGAGAGAATGAGGGATGAAAAACAAAAGTCACTAGAAAAATCACCTCCTCCAACTGAACTTGTCTCCGATGCCACAGATCTCGGTGCTCCACGACCTCGAGAACGGCCACCTGAAATTGTCTGATGTGTATAGCCGTTGGTTTCTTTAATTGAGTTGATTATATTCGGTTCTCCTTCCGATCATGAACAGAAAATCAAGCGAACTGGGAAAATTAGCACGGACTCCTCCACTCCTCCCTGATTTTCGCAGGCGGCACGTGAAAACTCTGCTTCCAAATGTATTTCAAAAAGTAAAAATATACCGCTGGAAAAATGAATCTGTCCAAAAAAAAAGTGTTATGCAGCGCAGAATGTCGTGAACGGAGCCCTTTCCCAAAAATCGTTCTGAACCAGCTGGGAATCGAACCACTTCTATTCACGTCCGAATGCAACGTTATACCACTACACCATCGATCATCCCCGTGGAAGTTCAACTTGGCAGCACATCTACTGTGTATCTGTTGTTCGAGGTAACACAAACCCTTCTTTTTTATGGCGACTTCTTGGCCGAGTTTTCGCAAGTTTCCCGTGGCACAGAATGTGCGCAACTCATTACCTAGTACTTGCTAAATAACATCTAGTTCAATGGATGATAGACGGAGATCTAGATTTCAGCAGCAGTTCCAGTATCCCAAAGGGGACGGGGAGGGACAAGTGCTTTTCTGTGACATCTATTTGCTACGCTTGAGAAAAAAAAGGTCTTTCGCTACGGAACTATCGCCCCTCAGGGATGTTTTATGACTGAGACGATTTGGAATCGAATACGCCTATCAGAGAGCACTAAAATGCTGTGATTTAAATTCGCGATTTGAGCAAAAACTAAGGTGAAATGTACTTACGTCCTGAAGTCGATGACATGTTGTTTAGTCGTCCGAATCACTCAGTACCAGTGATAAATGATCAACCTACAAAAAACAACACAGTGATGT